ATAAATGATTACAATTAGGGTAAGATGAGTGCAAGTCTGCTAAAAGATTTGAGTGTCAATGACTTTTTCACGTTAGCCATGCATTTAAAAATCACATTTTCTTGAATTCCGTTTGTATCTTACATATATTGTATCTTACAATTTAATAAAATTTATATTACATATTAATTATACTGTATACTTAACATATTTTACATTTTTATATATTATTATTTACTGATTTGTTTATACAATTTTTTTTTTCATACAGCCGTCCTGTGTACATACACCAAGAGGTGTTATGTCTTAGCGGATACTGTACACTGAGAGTTTACATTAATCCCTTCTTTAGGATTAAGGTATTCTTAACTAGTAATGAACCGGTAACATGCAGCCTCAGTGACCCTCGTGTAACCCATAGTCTTTAAACAACCTACTGACAGAACTTGTAGACTCGTCCTGTTATGTGTGAGGATACTACGTTGATCCTTGACAGATGATGTATAGACGTGACCTTGACACTAAGTTTAGTATTACCTGTGATGCTCATTTTAAAATATCTATTTGTAACCAAGAGAAATCATGGCAACTTAGTGGCAGCTGTCATTCGACACTAGAAGGATGGTTACGTGGTGGCAACAGGTGGTGGTTATTGCCTGTTCCTCGAATGTGTTTATCTGGAGTTTATCTGGAGAGAGTTCCGGGGGTCAACGCCCCCGCGGCCCGGTCTGTGACCAGGCCTCCTTAGGTCATTGTCCCAGGATGCGACCCACACCAGTCGACTAACACCCAGGTACCCCATTTTACTGATGGGGAACATAGACAACAGGTGGAAAGAAACACGTCCAATGTTTCTACTCTGGCTGGGAATCGAACCCAGGCCCTCACCGTGTGAAGCGAGAGCGTTAACCACCAGGCCACCACAATGACTGCTACTGTTACGCGACAGACATTTCCATGTATAAAGGTAGAAGGAATGCGTTCTATTCGAACATTTCACCAACTGTTGATGAAATAACACGCATGTGCAACACCTGGGTATCTTAATAAAGAAACGTTTCGCTAGCTCAGGAGTCTTTATCACGTAATTATGAAAATGATAAAGCATGCTGCGCAGGCGAAACATCTCTTAATAAAGATACCCAAGTGTTGCACATGTGGATTATTCATCAACTTATCAGTATAATACTACTGGTAAAATACCATTGCCTACTGTTCCAGTACCATACAGTGAAAATTTACCAATTCCCAGTACATCTCTGCAGAAGAGACCTCAAAAGTATCCCCTACATCTTCTGAAGGTGATGCTGTTACCTTTAATGAAACAATAAAAATCTCCACATTTCTCTAATCAGCAGGAACTAGATAACTTAATTAAGGACTTAGGTCTTAATAAATCCAGTACAGGAGTGTTGACATCTCATCGCGATGAGTTGACACTATATCCTAGTTGTAATTATTGGACATTGGCATCATGCTATTGAAATATGAGCCCCAGGTCCTTGACATGTGTCTGTCCGTTATAATACGACACCCTGGTCTTTGAGGTGCGTGTACCGTAATGGTGTGTGTGTATGCTGTGAGGCACTGTTGATTGTCATGATGTAGTAGTGAAAAAATACAATGCCCTGGGGTGAAGGGGAATTCTCCTGTTGGGAGGGAGGATGAAGTTTGTCGTTGGAATGAGGGGGGGGGGGGCTACTGTTGGGGAGGGGGAGAATGAGGTCTGTCGTTAGTGAGAGGAAGCCTACTGTTGGGGGAGGAGGAAGTTTGATGTTGGAGGAAGGAGGAAGTCTGTTATTGGGGATAGGAAGGAGAAGGGACATGCTGGAAAGGATAATTCAACATCGTGACAGTCAACATGGAAACGAATGTATTTACGAATGTAATAGAAGTGATCAAAGCCCCAAAGCCAGAAACATTTTCAATAAAGGCGTCCTAAGTGAATGCATTCGAGTCCATTTCACTTAAGCTTCAACCAGCAATCATGTTCGTCGGTATTAACCTCTTACGATACCCAAGTATGCCCACTGGCTACAGCCCAGCCATTGAGAGCTTTCCTAATGTATGCCACGCGAAAGAAATCTTCCAATCACACCATGAGCGTGATTCAACACAAGGGTGTTAGAGGCTCAATGTTCTGCCTGCTATTCGCTGTTGTACTCACACCATTGGTGATTGATCATTGGAGAGCATAGAGGAGAATGACAATATTAATCCAGTGTATAATAAATTAGACAAAAGACCTGAAAATGACTCGCCCTAGCATGGGTTAGCAGACCTACCCGTGTTCCTCCATTCTTATGTTTTCAAGAGCTGAGGCAGACAATAGGGCTGCTCACATTACCTCTGTCTTATTTTTTTTTTTATCAGTTTTTGAACTTTAGGCACCACCGCCATCACCTCCACCTGCATCCTAAGGTTCCATCTGCAATTTAACGTTTTACCATCACTGAACCTAGGTAAAATGAGTCATAGTCTGAAAACTAACCTAACGCAATCTACCTTAACCTAGCTTAAATCTAACCAAACCTAACATAAGCTAATCTAACCTACATTTTTATATGAGCGTTATTTTCACGTGACCACGACCTGTCACCCTTCACCACCATCATGCGTTGTGAGCCTGTCACCTTTAATGCAGGCAGACACAGGGAGATGGATGGACGTCCTTCCACATACATTACAGGTTGTTACCTAACATACTTTGTGTCCGGGCAAAACAACAAGTACATAATGAGTTCACCAACGGGCAGACGGCAGTGCCTCACCAGACACTGATTAGCTGGCTGGTTTATAAGGTTTAAACTCTGTCAACTACAAGAGGGTAAGTAAGGCTACAAGTTGCCTGTACATCACCAGCAAGGGATACTGTAACCTTTAAAATAGGGATTAAATTCAACTTATATACAGAGGCACATACCTTTCAATGTATATTCACACACGCCTCTCGATGTATATACAGATACACACCTCTCGATATATATATACCGATACACACCTCTCGATGTACATACAGATATACACCTCTCGATGTATATACAGATACACACCTCTCGATGTATATACAGATATACACCTCTCGATGTATAAACAGATACACACCTCTCGATGTATATACAGATACACACCTCTCGATGTATATACAGATATACACCTCTTGATGTATATACAGATATACACCTCTCGATGTATATACAGATACCTTTCGATGTATATACAGATACCCCTCGATGTATACAGATGCACACCTCTTGGAGTCTCGGTGTATATACAATGATACATATCTCAGTGTATATACATTGCGGCATATACACATCTCGAGTTTATGTGTATATACAAAGATACACACTTCTCAGTGTGTGCATGCATACATAGTCTCGGTACACTTCTGTGTATATCCTTCACCAGAAAACTGACTGAGAGGCTGCGCACCTTTCACAACGACGTACGACACTAAATTTATTACCTGCTAATTTGTCGTGGGGGTTCTTAAGGAGATATGACGCAGCAACTATGTTGACAAATTAGTCAGTTATATATGATTTATTCAGCCACCTTCCGAAGACGCGGGTGTAACACTTACCTGGAGGAGTGTATCTAGAGGGTGTTTCAGGGGTCAACGCCACCGGCCATATGGACATTACGGCACTTGTTTAAAACCCGATTAAATTCAAGGTATAATTAATGCGTCACCTGCAGGCGAGCTACACTTCAAGAATGGAAGGAGGGCAAGGAAGAAAGGCAGGGGAGAAAGGCAGGGGAGAAAGGCAGGGAAGGAAGGCAGGGATGAAAGGCAAGGAAGGCAGGAAAGGAAGGCAGGGAAGACAGAGGAGCTGGTATTACTCTGGAACTTAAACGAGAATAAGTAAGTAAGTAAGTAAATTTATTCAGGTATACACAATACAGTTACATAGAATTATCATACATAGCAGCATATGTGTAGAGAACCTAGGATAACCCAAAAAAGTCAGACAGAGTGACTTATTTCCATTGGGGTCCTGGGGAAATTTGTCCCAAACCTGCACATTGAAATCACTCCATATGAAAGTACGAGGCTTGGGAGGCGGTGCAAAATACTTTCAGTGAAAAGTAGCGAGACAATAAGTGAACTCATAAAAGTAATGGGAACCACGACTCTTCAACACCCTCCTATCATGCATGAAAAATAATTACCAACAAACCTTTAATTGTCTTCAAGAGAGCTCGATAAGTGCAGAGAGACCACGACTCTTCAACAACCTCCAGTCGTGCTTAAGGTAATCAATCACCAACAAACCCCAGGCTGAATTCAAGAGAGCCTGGTAAGTTCCTAAAGTCAGCTCTTGATCAGACGGGCTGTGCTGCATACGTTGGACTGGGTGCGGAGGATACCAACAGCCTGACTGATCAGGCAAGTAACCAGGAGGCCTGGGACCGGGCCAGTGACCACCGGAAGCGAGTACAGATAATTTATGAGCAACCCCGATAAAAATCTGATTTTCCTGGATATAATCTGATTGCCTCTCTTCCCCACTAATACTGTATATATATGTTTATGCGCCTTCCCCTAAATATAACAATAATTATATTTATTATTATTGTTAATATTCGCGGGAGCGCTAAACCTGTAGGAAACGTATAGCACCTGAGGGAATGAGGTAATCGGGTTCGATCCAAGGAGAGGATAGGGTCGTTTCCTTCAAATTCAAATTCAAAGTTTATTCTCTATAAGGATTACAATGCTGAGTTTACAGAATTTGGTTATTGTATTGTTTACATGTAGTAAAATAATAATTACAGTGTACCACTAGAACACCTAGCATGGCTAGGCATTTCGGAAGAGCTCTTTCACCAGCACCTCATGATATATATAAAGAGCGGAATATTACTTGAAAATAATAATATAATCCGTTATTATTAGGTTGACTACTAACTCTTGTCTATAATTCTACATTTTCAGAAAAGTGTACACTAAAGAAAATCTAAACTCATAAGGCACTTTGGTGAAAAAATATACTCTAAAAAAATCATTTTCTTACCTCATAAGACACTGCTGGTGGAAAAAAAATTGTGCATGCAAATAAATTATTTTATAAGATTTTAAGTCAAATTATTATACGATGAGGCAGTAACATCACCCTCCTCACCGGCGGTCAAAACCCAACTGACCAGATCAGCTGATTTCACTGCCCATCTGTAAATAAAACAGCTGCCGAGAAATTAATTTCTTCCTTTTATATTTATTTATAACGATTACCATGTACCTCTGATGATAATCACAAAACGAAGCTTCAAAAATCTAAAATTTACGATGATTGAAGCATGGGTGAAAAAACAAAAACTGAGTATAGGTAAAGTTATTGACGGGACGACACCTGGCAAGAATATACTACGCTCCAGTAATAATAATAATAATAATAATAATAATAATAATCTTTATTTCTACCATTACACGATACAACTGAGACAGACTTATATGACATCATTGCCATACTATATAGAAAGCCCCTGGCTATGTAGAGTATTTCAGGCAACTTAGGTTATTCCTGTCCCCCAGGATGCCACCCACAACATTCAACACCCCACAGGCACGTTGCCGTCCTTCTTGTTTCGGAGCCACTCAGGTTTCAGGATGTTTTACTTACTGTGGATTGCATGGAGAGGCACGTCTAGCCGAAACTGTCTCCTCTCTCTATCAAATTCCCCCTTAGCAATGAAGGAATGGAACAGACTGCCTGCACATGTCAAAGCCAGTCAAAGCATGAACCAGTTCAAGAAGAGAGCCAAAAGGTGCCTATTTTTATTAAAGATTCGCCGGTATTCTCCCGGCCCGGGCTTTTTCCAAGTGGTGGCCCGGCCTTGGCTCCCTCTTTAGGGAGTGTCTGAGACCGAAGTCTCCCATGGGAGGAGGCACAAGTACCCCCTCATCTTTGGGACCAACTGTCCCTTCTCTGGTCTGCCATCCCCACCCCAAAGCGGATAATGGGAATGACAGTCTTGTGAGCTGTAAGCTCGGGCTCAGGCACCTACCCTACCCTAGAAGGGTTAGGCATGGTGTCGATCAAAGGTGCCTAATGACTGTAGCGACAGAGGGGGAGAATTATTTTTATTTTTTTTAACTAACACATATGTAAATATAAATAACTCATTTTACCTTATTCCTAGTATATCTCCTTTATAGTATAATAATAAGAAATTATTTCCTTTATAGTAAAATAATAAGGTATTAAAAGGACCCCAATGAAAATAAGTCACTGACTTTTTTGGGTCATCCTAGGTTCACTACACATATGCTGCTAAGTATGACAATCTATGTAACTGTATTTGTATATACCTGAATAAACTTACTAGCAAAGGCGCGCTGCTCCCTGGTTTGCTCAAGAATAAGTTTGGCTAACTTAAGTGCTGACGAAGCTGACTGACCCTGACCCCTCACCACCACCCGTTTCCACGGGTGGAAAGTTGTCCTGCATGTGTTCCAGAGTTTGTGCCCCCCACCCCCCATTTTATATTAGATGGTTATATTCATACCATAATTTACAAAGGGGTTGGAGGGGTAAGCCAGCAGAAGGCCTCGGTCAGATTACCAAAAGCTCCAGCGACGGGTCATCACATGACTAAGTCCTGAGTCATGAAACACTTGTTCTGTTTCCTGACAAATCTCACCACACCTAACCCATGACGAGTAAGAAATCTAAACGGGGATCCGTGATTAATAGTTTCCGTAGAAGTAGGGCCATTTTGGAATGTCATATTGAACGAGTCAGACCTCAGCTTCTTGCAGATACACTCACGAAGCTGTGCAGTAGTAAAAGTGTGTCGATACTCTATGTCAATGGAATGAGCAATTCGCAAGCAACGCTGTAAAGATAGTATGGGCACGTTTTGCAGGGTATACTCGGTGGCCAAAAGCCTAACACACGCCGGTGGTATAACTAGCTAGCACTACAACAAAGCTCAACACATAAATAGCTTGAAGCAGTAACACGCAAAAAATAAGCAGGCTTTCCAGCGCAACAATGTAAGCAGGATCGTAGAGACAATGCAGCAGACAATGGCTTTAGGACAGGTACCCTATATTACGTGTGAGGAAAAAGCATGTAAATTGTGCTGATGGTATTTCGGATTTCGGGAGACTGTTACAGTGTGTCGCCGCCCGCACTGCCATCTAGCGGGCCGCTGTAAAACGCCAGATTTAATCAGGTCTGAGGGTTTTAGTTTCCACTCCTGGTAGTATTAACCTTACCTGGTTTGGTTGGGAATTGGGGTAATCACTTCACCTCCACTCTTCTCCTGATCAAGTAAGGTGATCTACAAGGAATATTATACCTGGAGTACAGCCGGAGAGTGTTTCGGGGGTCAACGCACTCGCGGCCCGGTCTGTGATCAGGGCCTGATCAACCAGGCTGTTACTGTTGGCCGCTCGTAAACCGACGTACGTACTACAACCCGACTGATCAGGTACTGACTTCAGGTGCCTGTCCAGAGCCTTCTTCTGTTTCAAGTTTTTGTTCGACCTGGTTAACAGACCAGTGTTTTTCTTGTCATCGCCAGCTCTGCTACTGGCGTACTTTTCCTGCAGCAGACGCTCGATAATTTGGGATCTAGATCCCCAGCGACGGACTCAGTGGGAAATTTTGATTCCTCATCTCTCCCTTACAACGTGAAGTGTGATTCTGCTAACCAGCCAAGACAGAAATTTCTCCTTATATATAAGATCCAAAGTACTGGATTGCTAGCGCACTCAGCTCATACACCGAGGTCCTGGGGTCGATCCCTGGCACGGCTGGAAAACAGGACGTGTCTCCATAAGACACCTGTTGTCCCTGTTCACCCATCAGTAAAATGGGCACCTGGGTATTAGCGGACTGGTGTGGGTCGCATCCTGTAACAAAATTTACCTAATTTGCCCGAAATGCTCTGCATAACAAGCGGCTTTATATATAGTAGTATATCATTGATGTCAGCTAGGCCTATATGCCTTGTACTTGTAGAAATAAAGATATAAAGAACATATCTTCACATCTGAAGACACACTGGATTAGAATATTTTCTACCTCAAGAACACGACAGAACTTCAGACGGCTATTTTTATGCCATTTAATTAAATGCTTTTTCATTTTTCTACCTTGGAAAGTCATTTTTTTTATTCTTCCGATCAGGGGAAAGTCGTTTCCCCTGACAAGTACGTACAGGTGCAGTCTTGTGGCCTGTACACCTGGATTTCAGCTCTGAGAACAAGTAGTGACTCGAGATCGTTCAGTTGCTGTACTTCATATTCTGCAGCAACGCGTTGAAATCATCACACACGCTGTTTCAATGAATCTCAACACCAATACGGATATGAGAGCCAGTACGAACAACGATGGTGAAGTCTCATTTACAATTACGTAGGGTAGGTCTGGTCTCCATCGTACATGATATATACACCGAGGGGTGTGTATCTGTCAGTATATATACATCAAAAGGTGTGTCTTGGTATATATATATCCTGAGATGTATCTTTCAATGCATATACACTGAATGTATGTCTCAGCTTATATACACCAAATAATAATAAAACCTTTATTTCTACAAGTACATTCACAAGGTATACAGGCTTAGCTGACATTACTACAATGTAGAAAGCCGCTTGTTATGCAGAGCATTTCCTGCAAATCAGGTGCTTAGCGCTTTTTGATTATAATAATGCAAATCAGGTTAGTTTTGTCTCAGGATGCGACCCACACCAGTCGACTAACACCCGGGTACCCATTTTACTGATTGGTAAACATGGACAACCGGTGTAAGGAAACACGTCCAATGTTTTCACTCTTACGCCACCAGGCGACGGGTATCGTTCAGTGGAGATACTCCGAAAGGTATGCATCTATCGGTGCATATATTCCCGAGAGGCTTGTATATCTCATTATATATGCACAGAAATGTGTCTCAGTAAGATAAGATTTCCTTCGGATTTTTAACCCCGGAGGGTTAGCCACCCAGGATAACCCAAGAAAGTCAGTGCGTCATCGAGGACTGTCTGACTTATTTCTATTGGGGTCCTCAATCTTGTCCCCCAGGATGCGACCCACACCAGTCGACTAACAACCAGGTACCTATTTGCTGCTAGGTGAACAGGACAAAAGGTGTAAGGAAACGCGTCGAAATGTTTCCACCCGCCGGGAATCGAACCCGGGCCCTCCGTGTATGAAGCGAGAGCTTTAGTCACCGGGCAACCCATATATATATATATAATATATATATATATATATATATATATATATATATATATATATTGTATACAAAAGAGGTGTGTATCTCTGTGCATATACATCGAGAGGTATGTATCTCTGTGCATATACATCGAGAGGTATGTATCTCTGTGCATATACATCGAGAGGTATGTATCTCTGTGCATATACATCGAGAGGTATGTATCTCTGTGTGTGTATACATATAAGAGTTCTCTAACGCTCAAGACCATTTGTCCAGAAGTTACTGATGTGTTGAACAATGTCCAATAAAGTCGGTCCGTCTTTAGGTCGATCTCCTGAACGGCTAAAAGGACTTGCATTAATATTATAGCAACGTAGATTTATATTTTAAAGGTGCGTAGAGGTTAAGTTTATATAATAGTTTGCCGTAAATATGTACGTTTTCTGTAATTTTGTAAGAAAACGTATATATACTTTGGCACATAAACTTAAAAGATGCTAACTGGTCTGTCGTTCGGCTAATAATAATGATCATAACAATAATAATAATAATATCTTTATTTACTACAAGTACATGTACAAGGTATACAGTCCTAGCTGACAACAATGACATACTACTATATAGAAACTCCCTTGTTATGCTCCGCATTTCGGGCAAATTAGGTCAGTGTCCCAGGATGCGACCCACACCAGTCGACTAACACCCAGGTACCCATTTTACTGATGGGGAACATAGACAACAGGTGGAAAGAAACACGTCCAATGTTTCTACTCTGGCTGGGAATCGAACCCAGGCCCTCGCCGTGTGAAGCGAGAGCGTTAGCCACCAATGGAAATAAGTCACTTTGACTTTCTTGGGTTAACCTAGGTAATCTACACATGTGCTGCTATGTATATAATTCATGTAACTGTATTCATGTGTACCTATACCTGAATAAACTTACATGTAGAAGGTATAT